CATTGTGTTTTCCTGAACCTCATCAATGGTCTGAAATCTCTTCTCTTTCAAAGGTGATTTTAGTTTGGGGAAAAGCTAGAAGTCTCAAGGCGCCAAATCTGATCTGGAGGGGGACTGAGTCACTGTGTGATTCGATGTTTTGCCAAAAAACTCTGCGTGAGACTTGATGCACAAGCACACATACTGTCATGCTGAAGCTGCCAATCACCGTAGCTGTGGCCTTCTGAATCATCCAAATAGTCTCTGTGGAGGAATGTTCAAGCTTAATGCAAATTTTGATGCAGATTCGTTGATCTGCTTGCTCAGTCATTTTAAATGCAATCGCCACATAGTACACATGCTAACTCAATGGCATCCACTGCCCCCACTGACTAGTAAAGTAAAATCCACATTGTTCATGCATGTGCATTCCAGTCCACTCTCCCTGGCTGGCAGGTTACAACAATGTCACGAAAATGGTTCTTGTTATATTAACAATGGCTGGACTTTTTCCAGACAGGCCTCATATATCAAGGTCACCTGATTTTTACTGGAGAATTAGTGTCTAGATTCAGAGCACGTAACTCTTTGTCTAGCATTCTGACTTTCAGAACACAAATCTTTGATGGAGATGGGGAATTGGTAGTGGTAATAGCTTTCTAATTGTTTCCAAGGAGGAGATTAGTTTAAGTGATGCTCAGTAAAGAGAGGAAACAGCTTGTAAAATATTAAGTCCATCTAGACAAACCTAGCACAGGGAATAAATTTTCCTTAGGGAATAAAATCTGATTGCTTAAGAAGGGAAAAAGCTAGGCACAATGAGATAAATTAATTAAGGGAATATGATGGGTCTACCATATGCTCTGCATTCTTGTGGAATAAAATGATGAGAATGGAAATTTTAGTGTTTCTAATGTGAGTCATTGGTAGATTCCACATCATTATAGTGTACTTCTTTAAAGTGTCTCTTAATAGAATTAGTCCTTTTAATTAACCAGGGATTTATGTAGGATAACACCAAGAATTTTAATTAACAGTTGTCATGACTCCATAAAAATAGGTACCCATTACTTGTCTTTCTCTAAAACTTTAGCAGTAATTCTGATAATTTGCTGATTAAATTTGCATGTGAGAAAAATTCTGCGTACATGTTCACAGAGAGGGACACAATACACATTGCTTTTCTGAAGTCTGCTGTTTTAGTTTTTATAATATTATTAGGTTAAATCTAGAAGTGAATGACCTTCTGGCTCTTGATACTCAAGTGCTGCTGCTTGGTTATTCTTTTGGGCTTTGTGGTTGGCTAGGATAGATTTAATTTAAAAATCAGAATGGAAGATCAAGGTGAAAAATCTAAAGAGGTAAAATAGGAAAAACAGCTTTGTTTCCCCTAAAAGTTGTATTGGTCCCTGCTCAGGAGTCCATGCCCAGGACTCCTAGAACATATTTTTCTAAGCCAATTAGAAGGGTTCAGAATGTAAACTTGAGAAGGGTTAAAAGTCAAGACTACTGTTAGTGAGATGTTTTACTTCTCAATGCTTGAGAAAACAATAGTTTGGCTGGTTTACTGGGCAAGAAGGAAGATGCAAATTGTAGTGGCCATTTAAGTCCTTGTGGTAACAGAGGAAAGGATTGAGTCCTTAGTTTGAAAACATTGTAGGGCTTTCTTTTAAAGAGAAGCTTTTTTTCAGCTTCGGCCTGGCAGCTCTTCAAATAAAATCACAAAGGAACAAGACACTATAAACAGCTGTCCTACCCCAAAACAGGACTGCATAGACAAGCAGGCGCTCATGGCCAAGGCTGTGAAGGCAGCAGGAAGGGCAGCTCCGTAGGCACCAGGAGCCACAGCAAGCAAATAGAGGCAAGTGTGGGTCCCAGAAAGAGTGACAAGTGGACTAACACTGGTGGTCATCTTCAGGTGCTGATATATTGGCAAGACAGACAGTAGGTACAGGGCTGATTTGCTACTTTTAGCTCCCTGTTTCAAAGGGAACTCAGAAATCCGGAGCTAAGAGAATCTTACGTGTAGACAGGCTCTAGCCGTGGGAGGGGAGGGACCCTTGTCTTCACAAAATATAAGCAAATGCTCTGACATATCACTGCTTGTTTTTCATCTTAAGCACTGTGATCCCTTCTCTCATTTCTTTTTCCTTAATCTTTAGCCCTCCTCTGTGAGATGACATGTAGGATTCTTTTTGTTCTCTAATTCCTAGCTTAGGTTTGTTTTTGTTGTGGGTTTGTTTTTTGTTTTTTTTTTTTGTATGATTGCGTATTGGCCGAACTATGGCAATTTTCCTGGTTTGGACAGAGTAATAGCTGAAAACCTGAGGAGAGAAACTTGGGTTTAAATTCTGCCTCAGATGTCAGATTACACATTCTTAGCTAATGGGAGGGAACATTGAAGCCACCACACTCCCTCCTACTGGGATACCGGGGAAATGAAAAAGAACCGACATTACTTCTTAGAACTAATTAATAAGCTGACTTTGGAGGAGGCCATTTCCCTCTCAGTGGAGAAACATTTGTTGGAGGCAGAGCTAAAGCAATGGAAGAGGGATTCTTAAAGGAAACAGACAGCATTAGGTATTCTCAACGGCCAGGTCTGTTTCTGTTCATCTGGGTTAGTCTTTAGCCTTATACTCCACCCTTTCAAAATAAAAAATAAACAAAAAAAAACAACAACCAAGCAACCCTGGCTAAGTCCAGCTAAACTTCATTGGTCTCAGAACTCTTTCCTCCTAAAAATTAGGATAGTCATGTGTAGCATGACATTCATTTATGTCATCTTTTTTTACTTCAGGGTAATTATCCCAAAGGTTATAATTACCTTTATGGGCACCTGGGGAAGAAATATCTTTGTGGCTATCATGTGCTTTACTGTCCTTACTCTCTGCCTGATTCCTTCCATCTTCCCTATGAGTCCTTCTTGCCTGTTAAAATATATAATTTGTCTGCCCCATGGAAGGTTTGTCTTAGAGTGACTGGCAGGTCATCTGCCTGTTCACTTCACCCCTTGGATTGAAGGGTTTAGCTTCATTGCATGGCTAATATTGTGGGATGGGTAGAATACCAGAGGAATCAATGCCTTCTTGCGTGCTTTTTCTCACTATATAATGTAGTTTATAGCCTCGAAATATGTGCTTGCTGGGCAGACCGTCCTGTATTCATGGCTGCTTTCGTTCCTAGGAGTATTATTAACACCATTATCCTTGGGGGCAGGTTTAGATCGGAAACCTAGGTTGAGAAACCTGTAATCCTAATTGTGTCTTGATTCATTATCATTATTTAAAGTAACAGTTCTAGTTATCTATTGGGCATCACACTAGACAGAAAATTAGCCGCAATCTGAGTCCTTTTGGCCTGCTGGGCCTGTTGCTCAGTCTTCAGAGATGCAGACAGAAGAGTGTCTGTCTTCAACCCTAGCTTCCCTTCCCCAGCTCGTTCTGCCTCATGGCAAGTGTGGTTTTCCTGCAGCTGCCTAGGCATCCTCATCTATAGGCCCTTTCTCTCGTCTAGACCATGCTCTGGTGTGTTCTTGGCAGTGGTCCCTGCTGCCTGCCGGGTATGTAGTTGCCTACTGTTGGGCAGTAGCTCATTGCTCTGGCATCCTAATGTGTAAATATTTGTCAAAGGCCGGGGGCATTTTCCCATTCCCCAAAAAGCATTCTGAAAAATGTGCCTGTTTTCTTAGTCATATTTCCAAGGTGTGGATCAGTTAGCCCATTCATTCCTTGCAGTTGACAGACACTGGCCTGGCCTCATCTGACCACATAAAGTAAGGATGCAGTAACTTCCGGCCCACTAACTTTGACTTTAGTACCGAGGAGTCCTGGACCTAAGGGAACCATAGACAACATAGTCACTATTAGAGAACACATTATGGAAAAAATCACGTATCTCCTATATCAAGCATTTTAATTTTTTTCACTCACACTTGACATTGAAGGCATAAATGGAATCAACAAAAATGAGAAAGCTAATAACTGTTTAGATTCTGGGGAGAATTTTAATCTTCATGTTTGTGACTTTACTGTCAGGTCTCATGTTATATAGGTTTTTATACTGCATTCAAGTGTGCCTCTATAAAAGGTGACATTGCTGAGCTACTGTCAGTTTATAGGTGTTTTGTCCAGTGTAATTGATGATTTATCCTGTCACTCAGATCTGCTTGAAACCAAAACAACTTGCCTCTGCAAGATAGCTTTTTGGGCTAAAAGACAGTCTTTAGCATTGATGCAAAGTTTTCTATCTTTGGGTAAAACCAGGTCACCCACATATAAGAACTGAACTCTTGGTCTTAGCCTTGTTCACACTAGACTCTCACTAACCTCAGGATTTATTTAACTTGCTCACATAGTGCCAATAGGTTAAAGTAACTACTGATGTACTTTATTAAACTGCTTGTCCTCCTTCACTTGTTTTCCTCCCAGTCTCACCTTCAAGTATCCTTTCCTCCTCATCCTGCAGTCTTTTGACCTAATCCTCAATCTTCTGGCCAGCATCTGGTCATATGTATCCCCAACCCCATTGTATGTATGTATGTATGTATGTATGTATACATATATATATACACCCCATTGTATATATAATCTCGGCTTTTTGTTTTCACTATTTATAACCACCTCAATCCTCCTCATTTCTAGTCAGAATTTGATATAGGGACATGAAGCTGTTGGGTGTTAGAGTCTTAATTGAATGAGGAGGAAACAATAGCATATGTTCTACAATACAGCAACTGCTTTTCTTTAAAAGATTTATTTATTTTTAGAGAGAGGGGAAGGGAAAGAGAAAGAGAGGGAGAGAAACATCATGTGTGGTTGCCTCTTGCACACCCCCTGCTGGGAGCCTGGCCTGCAACCCAGGCATGTGCCCTGACGGAATTGAACTGGCGACCCTTTGATTTGCAGACTGGCGCTCAATCCACTGAGCCACACCAGCCAGGGCTACTTTTCTTTCATAGAACACAACGATTATGAAAGGCCTGAGTATCTATTTTAATACATGTAACTTTTTTCCCACAGATCATCAATTTCTACATGAATATGCTGATGGAGCGAAGTAAAGAGAAGGGGTTGCCAAGTGTCCATGCATTTAATACCTTTTTTTTCACTAAGTTAAAAACAGCTGGTTACCAGGCTGTGAAACGCTGGACAAAGAAAGTGGATGTATTTTCTGTTGACATTCTTTTGGTGCCCATTCACCTGGGAGTGCACTGGTGTCTTGCTGTGAGTACCCTTTTGTTTTTGATAAAATTTAAAAGAAATTTATATAATTATAGAATACACAGAGTAGTGAGTATTAGTTCTGCATCCTCACTGGGTGATTAAAAGGAGGGTAGTATTTACTTGCCTAAAAATCAGATAGATCAATACTTAAAACTTTTAAGAAAGCTATGGAATTTCCTTTTCTGGAAATATTTAAAAAGAAGTTATAAGTCCCTCCTGTAGAGGGATTCCTACAGAGGACTTTTTAGTTTAACCCCTTATTTCTTTTACTTCTACTTAGAGAGATGATGCTTCATAATTTTGGGACTATTTTTAAGAAATCAATAAACTACAAGGCAGGAGAATCAAAATAAAACCTTAGTTCAATTTGTCAAAACTTGCATAAAAAGTGACTTCTTAATGATGCTGCCAATTCTGATCCTGTGACTGTTACTTTCTGCTAATCATGACTTGCCTTGCATACTTAGTATCTTTCATGACTCTGAAAACATGAATATATTAGCTTAAAGTATTAATGAAAGTGTAAGAGTTATCTTACAGTCTATTGTGAATTACATTTGAAAAGCCAAAGAAAATTCTCTAGGTAAATAAACAACACCCAGGATCTGTTACTGTCTTTCTGAAACTGTGAAAATGATCTCAACTCATATTCTTTGAAGAACATGTTGTGTCTTCACTGTTGCCCACTTTGTAGGTGGGGACTCTGAATATAGAAAAAGGTTTTAGGGCAGTTAATGGGCCTACCAGTCAATCAGCCCCCACTGTAGTTCTGTGTAAATGATTCGCCTGTGCTCTGTCTTCTGCAGATTAAGCATGGTATGATGCAAAGTATCAATCAATTAAACTTGTTATGATTTCACAGGAAATCTGGCAAAAGATTCCAGGGAAGGGAAAAGCTGAGAAACCAGTCATCTTCACGTCATCAACAGAGATTTTTTTTTTTTTTTTATTCCTAGGTTGTAGACTTTAGAAAGAAGAATATTACCTATTACGACTCTATGGGTGGGATAAACAACGAAGCCTGCAGGATCCTCTTGTAAGTAAGAAGCTGAGGATAGAAGAGTTCAATGTCAGTGTATGTTGTCTTCCAGCTGTTGAACTCAGTTCTTTTATACCGTCAGTGGACTGATTAATAAAGGAGATTTTCATATTAAGTAAGAATGGATATTTAAAAGAAATTTGTATAATTATAGAATACACAGAGTATTCTATTCTAAGTAAGTAAAGTTTAATAGTAATATAATAATACCAAATATATGTCTTAATGCAAACAATTACTGTCCTAGTGCACTAAAATATAATTGGTATAAACATATCAATATAGGAACTACTTAGAAATCATCTAATCCAACCTCTTAATTTTTCAGATAAAATACCAAGACCCACAGAATGATTTTATTTTGCCTAGGTCCTACTAATTGGTGGCTTAACTGAACCAAAATGCAAATCTGTATACCCCATCTGTTTCTTGTTCCAAAATGCTTAACCCTCACTACCACTCCAGTAGGTAGGTTCCAGAATAGTGAGCAGTTTGCACTTATGAAGAGTGCTCTGTATGAGGTATGCACTCAACAAATTGTTAATTTGGATTGAATTTTTGCACAGGCGACTCAAGACTAAAAATAGTAAATAAGTAGTTCGATATTGCTAGAGAAACATTCGTCTTCCATTAGATTGAGTTCTAAAGGACCATTTTATATGGAAAAGAATCAAATTCGTTCCTCAGGAGGAACAGTAGGTAGCAGGAGCCTGGGTGTCAGAGGCAGAGGTCATGTGTCTCTTGGGCTGACAAATGGTGGGCATGAATTGTGGAAGTTGCAAAGAGGTTTGGCAGTCTACGGATACCCCACCCAGCATTATATACTATTTTCCTCAGAAGCATATATGAAAACTCTTCCTAAGGATTGTCAGCTCCATCCTTTGGGTAGCAGCAGTCATAAGTGTTCTCTGCAGCTCACTTCATTCTTTCCCAATACCTTTAGGCAATACCTAAAGCAAGAAAGCATTGACAAGAAAAGGAAAGAGTTTGACACCAATGGCTGGCAGCTCTTCAGCAAGAAAAGCCAGGTACATTTTATCTTGATGACATAAAAATTCCTGACTTTACGGTAGTTGGCAAGGAGAAGATTTAACTGCTTGATTCCCAGGGACCTTCTCTATCTTAGTGCCTCGCCTGACTGTGGCTTGGTTTGGTTCCTTGGGGAAGATAAAGTAAGCTGTGGGAAAACTGGTCATGTGTTTCTTATGTAGAGGTAGGTTTTCTAAATGCCCAGCTATTTTTCTAAGCATTTCAGTCCTGTGGGACATGTTTGCTGATCGTTTGTTCTTTGTGGGTGGGAGCAGCTTTTATACCCTTAGGTGCAATGGAAGTCTAAGATAGTTTCCTGTGCAGTTAAGATGAAGTACACAGGCATAATTGAGAAGCTGTATTTTTCTTTTGAGCTTGTGCTGTTTTGAGTGAGAAACACGGGTCAAGTTTTCAAAATTCATAGTAATCTGTAAAATTTATATCCTTTGGTTCTTATTCATAATGTAATAAGAAGGAAAGAATCTTGGGAAGATGTCACCTTTTCCTTGTCTTTGGTCTTTCAGGAAATTCCACAGCAGATGAATGGAAGTGATTGTGGGATGTTTGCCTGCAAGTATGCTGACTGCATTACCAAAGACAGACCAATCAACTTCACACAGGTGAGCTGAACCTTCAGGAGGAAGGGAGCTCTGTGTCCACCCTGTCTCCCGGTGCCCAGTAGGGGTTTTTCTCTCCACTTGGCTCTGCTTAGGGAGCTCTGCTTTGTCCTGTAGCTTAGAACACTGGTGGTTACTGCCTGCTACATCACAAATAAAAGAAGGGTAATAACAGGCCATGTCCTAGGTTTCCATATATCACACGTTGAAGTCGAGCTCATTTTCTTCACTTTCCCTTTATTTGGTTAGCAATCAGTTTTTGCTAACTTAAACTAACTATTTACTTCTGTTTGAATTTAATGGCTTTAACGGATTTTTCCACCATAGCTCTTGGGTGGAACTGACTCTTGGAGTTTCCTTAACTTTTCCTCTAAAAGGTGACTCTTAGATTTCAGGCCTCAGATCTTACATCATCTTAAGATTTCAATGTAGAGGACTTGATAGACATCATTCTCAAAATTCTTGGAGAGAGTTAGGCATAGCCCGGGGATGCCTGGCAATACCCTATAAAACTTCTAAGACCACAACAGTGGAAAAGAGCAATAAAGATGGCAATAGAGAAAAGCAAGGGAAAGGAAAAAAGTCCCATGTAATCAAGAATGAGAAATTTGAAAGATCAGAAATGCAATTGAGACCATCTTAGTTGAAAACCTCAAGGAAGAAAGGAGTATGGGGAAAGGAGTATTGGGTCTGGACAAAAAAAATGAAAATTAAGGGTATCTCTGTGTCCCTACAGCAACACATGCCATACTTCCGGAAGCGGATGGTCTGGGAGATCCTCCACCGAAAGCTCTTGTGAAGACTGCCTCAGCATACCTTGACATTGGAGGGGACCTGCTCTTTGTTGTCTACAGCTAGAGACCGTGGAAACAGCTGCTCCCAACCCTCTGTTCTTGTGCAGCCCTTGATCCTGGACCAGGCCCTGGCGAGATGCATTCACAAGCACATCTGCCTTTCCTTTTGTATCTCAGATACTATTTTTGCAAGAAACTTTGGTGCTGTGAAAGGGGGTGAGGGACATCCCTAAGCTGAAGAGAGAGACTGCTTTCCACTTCTTCAGTTCTGCCATCTTGTTTTCAAAGGGTGCCAGCTTCACTCATTCCCTAATTAAGGGAGCTGAGAGAAGCTTGGAAAGACTCCTGGTTTCATAGCAAACTCTTGTTGTTAGGCCTTACTAAGAGGTAGCAAAGGGCATGGGCAAAAAGGGTAGGGATAAAAACCACCAGCATTTACACGCACACATACATACATGATTTTCAAGATGTTTCATCACATCTTGAAAGTGACTGTAAACTGGACTTTGGGGCATGTGCATAGGTCCCTTCTCTAGGACTTTTCCTATTTATATGCCCCTTTGTGAAATCTGTCTGCTTCTAGAAAAGGCTGTTTTATCATCTATAGCTTCCTCCCATCCTGAGGCACAACACGTGAGCCCTGGGTGGACCCCCAAAGGCCCAGGCAGTCCTTTCCTTAAAAGCAGAGGTTTGCAAGTGCTCACAACACATGTTATGGGGAAGACCCACCCAGGGAGCGGTTTAGTGGAGCAGCAAGGCACCACTTTTACTGCCGCCTACTTCTGACCAAGAAGAAGGACCTCAGTCTTTAGCATAAAATTCCAGCATTGGATGAATGCAAGTCTAGTTTGGTCTGTGGCTAGTTAGTTTAAATATGTTTCTAACCACAGAGAATTTAATATATATATATATATATATATATATATATATATATATATATATATATATTTCACAGGGATATGTTTTTTTAAGGCTGAATGTGTTCACCATTTTAGCCTGTAGATTTATTTTCATTTTCCAAATTTAGCTCCAGCTCGCACAGATCCCAGCCCCTATGTGTAGGGTGTTGTGGACTTCCCAACAGAATATTTTGAGACCTGGGTGAACTTTGGCTTAGGGATAAAGGTTATAGAGGGAGGTGAGATTTTCAACTGGAAAACGGGTGGAATTTGGACTGATCAACTTGAGATTAAAAAAACGCTATTCCTTTTGTTCTTTTTAGCATCTCCCCCGCCCTCTGAACGTTCCTCAGGCTAGATAGTGAAATGATCCAATGCCAGTGTCATTTTTGTACTTAAGTTCCAAAATAGGAACATTTTATACTTTTTTCTGTATTGTAATAGGTAGTTTTGTATGAAATCTCTCCTCTCCCCTTGTACCCCATCTCTTTCAGCATTGTGCTTTCTCCCTGGGCTTATTTGAAAATTTTACTCTGTTTTATACCAAGCTTATTTAGTACATTTTTCTATGTTTTACCACAGGTTACAGTTTGAAAAGAAAACTATTTTTTTTAAATATTCCATTGTTAACTGAATGTTACTGTTTCCACTCCAGCAACTAGATGTCCTACCCTATTCATAACTGCCTGCCTTTTGGGGGAAAACCACCTTTTGTTTGTTTTCTTTTTTATTTTATTTTATTTTATTTTATTTTTGGTGTTTTCTATAGGAAATAAATAGATTCCTATATATGAGTTGCTGGGACCTTTCAGATTCTCTTTAAAAAAGCAGTGATATTCAGCCTCATTGTAGGATTCCTGAACATTAACTCTTGGTACTTAATGTATTTAAGTGATGACTTAAAAGGTGATGATATCGTATAGATTTGGATTATGAATCAAAAGACCTGAGTTGTTTAGGCTTTCTCGCTATTGTCGAGGGACTCAGGACAAGAGAGTTTTCTGTGTTTATTGTTTGTTTAGATAACATCTGTTTTGCTTCCCTCACAGTCTTTTTGTACAGACCAAAGCAACAAATATTTATTGCCATGTATAGCAGAAAATGAAACATGCAACAAAAGCACTTTGAAAAATATATAAGGAATTGTTGAGCCTGTCTGAACTTGACCACCTTTCTGATCAATGCAGTTCTTACACAGATAGGAGTTAGTGATCCTGAGACCACCCTTCATGGTAGGAGTGAGCCAAGCTGAGATTAGGTTGTAGCCTAGATGGCTCAGTGGGGCCCAAATACAGATTGTTAAAGAGTGGGCCATGCTTTCCAGAGGGCTAGCCAACAAGAGCGGGCCCAGCACCTGGAAACTTAATTTTGTTTTCATTTAAGGATGGGCTTTGGTGACCTGGGGGTGGGGGGAGGGGGAGACATTCCTGTATTCCATGTCCAAGGGCATGTTTCCAATGCCTTGTTGAGCCTGCTTTAAAGTAAATAAGCCTATTGCTCTCCTTTTTTCTTACTTTCCTCTCTCCCCTGTGCTCAGTGCTCTTAGTCACCTACCATAGAAAATGAGTACTTGAGGGATAATAGGCTCTAGATGCCAGGGAGAGAGCCTTCAACAGAAACCGTATCCCAGCCGTTACCCCTGGGCCCTGTGCAGAGGAAGTCGGACCGCTCCTACCCATTTGAAATACCATGGTCTGAGGCACAGAGGTTAGCTCTGTCCGATTTGTCATCTGGGACCCGCTCTTGGTCCTTTTTCCTCATCAAGCCTGGAGACTATAAATCAACTCTTCTGTATATGAAATGCTTCATATTCCTCTGTAATATCAACTTCTCTCTTTAGCCCCAGTAATCACACTGTCCCTAGCAAAATTAGCCCCAAGTTTTAGTGACCTTGGGGTAGAAACAGATGATCTTGGAGCAGCCCCATCCCATAGCCTGTCCATCGTCACCTGGTTTTACATGCCCGTAGTAGGCTCTAGTGGGTAGAGAGGGAGAGGGTTCATGTAAGAGTCCCAGCATTTTTAATGCCTCAGCCTCTGGCCTTCCTCTGCTATCCCTTCCGCTCTCAAATACATCTTGCCAGATTAAGAGAGATGACTGACACTTGGGCTTTGTTGTCTCCCTTGTTCCACCTGGATGGGCCAAGGCGAAGTGGTATCTGATGCTTTCACCATGTGACTTCACATACCCAAGAGAGTTGGAGAAGGAGGTGAAAGGCTGTCAGGCTCGGTTGTTGACGCAAACAAGGCTACCTGCTGAGCTCGTGAGAAAGTTGCCATGTTTCTCTAGAACGTAATCTATCAGGAGCTTCAAGTTCATCCTAAAATATTGGAAGAGAAAAGTCAGCCTCGTTCCTTACAGTCTGGGGCCTTACTTCACTTGTGTTGAATCCTAACATCAGCTCTATTAAGAGCCCATAACTACCACTCCCAGCTTTGGAGGTGGGGAAGGACATAGAGATGTGGGGGTCATCCTGGTCAACCACTAAGATAAGGGAGAGCTTACGTATCAGGGGTTAGAAAACAAACTAGGATACTCTGAGCCAGAAGATAAACTGTGAAGAAATACTAATGTGAACTGCCTTTCTGGCCTGTTAAGAATAGAGTAGGGATAATCCCAGCTGTGAGAGTTTGGGCCAGATGTCTAGGGTCTTGTCCAAGTCTAAGATTCTGAGATAGGGCCATGGTGCCACTTGGAATAGAAACCAGTCAAGGTAGAGATTCAAAGTTAAAGTTTAAGGCCAATGTTATCATTAGCTTGGTCTTAGAGTTAGGGCCCAGGTCAGTCTTCTCCTAAAGGGACAGATCATAGCTGCTAACTTTATTCTCAGCTGAAGAGTAACCACTCACCACTTCTGATGATTTGTCCCTCCACCCTTCTCAGGACATTAAGTGCTGTGAGGGAGAAGTGTGTGCACAAGGAGCACAGTCTTCATTCTGCTGGGTGCCCCTCATTCAATTAATCACTTCCTCCTTTCACAAACACCTACGGAGCGCACCCCCCCAAATCCAATCTCTTTGAAGCCTCCCTTGATCACATTGTCTTAACATCTCTCATCTGGACATCTGTGGCCCTTATAATCTGAAAATAATATAATTCCATATGATGTTTATATTGTCATCTGCCTTTTACATCAGGAATGGACTGAGACATGTCATCACTGAGGGCAGGTAAATGATTTGGTGCTTCTTCCCCAAGCTAGGAGTGTAAGCTGTCTTTCTGCCCTGCCAGGGAGGAGTTTGGGGTAACTCAATTAAATATTTATTTAGAAAGTATTGCAGGACTTGGGGAAAGAAGGAGCATTTGTCCAGCCTGCAGTGAGGCTGTACCTCCTTTGTGGACCCCAACAGTTCACCTCTGGTCCCAAACCTGATGCCCCACTCTGCCCTTAACACTATCTCCTTGCCCAGTCATTCAACATGCTCTTTGGAGGTCTCAGTCTCTATCCCAATGGGCTAATGAAAGTATTTTTTTCTAACCACACGTATTTCTATTATGTATAGTCCAGCTTTCTAATTTCCAGTGATATACATGGAGATTGTGGGTCCCTTTCTCTCTGCCTTGTCTTTTCAATGGACTGTTTTAAAGTACATGCTGCCTGTACTGAGTCTATTAGCCAGAGCTTAATTCCTGGAGCGCATTTGCCTTATACTTCCAGGGAGCCTGTTATGCTGGGTGTTTAATAAGCATGTGTTTAAGCACCAAGCTTAGGGACCCTGAAGGATGGAATGAAGAGATGGTTTGACCAAGGAAATGAAAGCCACCTGCCATCAAGGACCTTAGAGTTTTTGGGAGGCCAGGAAGATGCCAAACAATGTTCGTTGTTGAGAGGGCAGACTCCTAGGCACGTGGTCCAGTGTGAAGCTGGATGTGGGTGATGGAGAAGCCGAGGTGGAGACAAGTCAGGGATGATGTTGGCTTTATCTGCCAATCTGTGTTGTGTGTGACTCCCTAGTTTTTAAAAGGTGATTTATTTAAAATCTGTGGGTTTCGCTTGCTTGCTTTGACTGGAAACTCTCTGGTAAAAAAGACTCGATGGTGTTTGTCTCTCTAAGACTGTCTCTCTGTCTCTTTGACTGTTTGTTCTGTCTCTGCCTGTGTCTGTGTCTCCTGATCCAAGCTGAACCAGTGATTGGATCCTCAGTGTGGTCTGGATTCCTGAGTCCACCCCTTAACCAGGAGTCTGAATACTGCTCATTCATTCATTTCATTCCACATACCTGGAATTGGATCCTGAACGCAAATAACATGCAAATCTGTGGCTCTCTGGCACTTTTTAAAACCAGGTCTGTCTGCGGAGCTGGCCAGAGAGCCCTCCTCAGCCAAACACACCAGTCAAGACTAAACCCACCCTGCTCACAGCATCCATTGTCTCTGTGCCCCTGTGCTGTACTCCTTACAATCTAACCTCAAAGAAATGCTCCCTCTGCACTACCTGTAAAGCGCACGCTCTGAAGAATAAGACATGAGAAAGCACCAACTTCTGAAAAGTCTTCCAGCTAAGACAGTGAAACAGTTACCTGTGTTGAGTTAGAAGAGTCCCTTGTAGTTTCCAGGACATCCTTGAGTTCCAACATTTTTCTTGGCATGATTAAGATGTTCCAGTTATTTGAAAGTGGTTGGAATGAGGAGGAAAAGCTTCAAGCCACCCTATACTCTGGTTCCTGAATGCAGTCTGAGATAGCTGATGGTTGCCTGGGCCTGCATGTCTATTACCGGATGGGGAGAAAATGCCCTCACAGTGGGGACCTGTGCCTGGT